CTATGACGAGTGGGGGCAAGGATCAGGGAGGGCTACGAGTGGGGGCAAGGATGAAGATCAGGGAGGGCTACGAGTGGGGCAAGGATGAGGATCAGGGAGGGCTACGAGTGGGGCAAGGATCAGGGAGGCGTACGAGTGGGGCAAGGATCAGGGAGGGCTACGAGTGGGGCCAAGGATGAGGATCAGGAGGGCTATGAGTGGGGGCAAGGATCAAGATCAGGAAGGGCTACCAGTGGGGGCAAGGATGAGGATCGAGGGAGGGCTACGAATGGGGGCAAGGATGAGGATCAGGGAGGGCTACGAGTGGGGGCAAGGATGAGGATCAGGGAGGGCTACGAGTGGGGGCTAGGATCAGGGAGGGCTACGAGTGGGGGCAAGGATGAGCTAGCCTAAGCTAGCCTAGCCTCCTGTGCAGGCCTTTTGATACTGCGTTTTGTAGAATTTTTAACGCGTTCTTTTGCTGACCACCCTACACCACGGCATATCACCTTCTCTGTGCGACTGGTTGTAGGACGGCCGGCAAAAGAACGCGTTAAAATTCTACAAAGACGCGGTGTCAAACTCCCGCCCGGAGGCCTGGACAGGAGGCTAACAGATAGTGACGTAATCAGTGCGTTGGCGCGCCTTGCCTGTGAAAACAGGTGTCTTCGTTATGATTGGTTGAGAACACAATTAGGTTATCGACCAGGCTTAACCCGGAATCGAACATCTATCCTTTAAGAACATATCTGTTGAGTCAAGCCCTGGTCATATGACAGAAGGATTAGCCAAGACAGTGGACCCGAGTGCCTTGATCGACAAATACTGACAGGTGAGAACTTCACGATGCTTCATCCATAGTACATAATTTCAAAGGTTTTGCAAAAATATCAAGACATGTACAATACCACAATCCATACGACCGCTAGCTCTGGCCACCCCAGCACGATATTCCAGCTATAGCAGGGCTGTGTAGTGCAAAATGGAAATGATTGTCAAGTACAGTAATTTCTTGAAAAAAGTTTCGGACCTGTACATTCGAAGTTACATCACACACACAATCGAACCATTTGCCTGAGCTTGATGTTTTCGACTTAGGTAAAAAAGATTTTGCTTCAGTGAACGTTGTTAGTTCAGTGCCCGCAAAAGTGGCCCTTGTGGCTTTGCACTGAGCAAACTCTTTAAAGAAGGCCTAAAAAGACACGGGATATATAGGACTGAGGAGTTGTCATGGAGTATATATAGAACAACTCTTCATATACATGTGTGCATCTTTCCTTCGATCTGAATTGGTGCATAGTTAATATTATTGCCCAACATATATCATTACATGAATTTGCTTTAAGATCACCCACTGCACTGAGTAAGGACGAAAACTTGGTCAGGCTTGCTTCCCATGAGCACTTTGTTGCGAAATGCAGACTAAATCTCCTTGGTGTAACAAAGACTCGGGGATTACAAGTGCCCTTTCCGAGCTAGGGTTGGTTTGAATAGCTCGGACCTAGTTTGCGAACGAAATCGATCACTACCGCTCCTATGTGTAGCCTCTACCAGGCTTCGGAAGCAGCTTTGGTCTTGCCTCAAAAAATAATAATGAGAATTCGAAGTTTATTGCAAAGCGCATGCCCGAAGGCTAATTGCAAGTTACAAGCATAAAAGAACATTGCAAACATAGTATAAAACAACTTCAAAATGTACATAATGAAATGTAATTGTTTAAAACTATTGCTATGTCTAAAACTATGTCTGAAGGGTTTGAATTCTCTTTTGTAAACCATAGTAGACGTAATGTCCCACCTTTTCTAAAATTTGTGGGTTATGGGAAGTTTAAAGAAGAATAGTTTTTTGTTTGTCTGTAACTTTTGGGAAATTGGGATGAATTGTAAGGACTAAATAAATGTACTAAATAATCAAGTCTCCGGAAGCGGCTGGGAAGAGTAGAAAATTCGCCATGGCCAAATACACAGATAACATACCAGGGGGGTTGCCGCAAATATAACAGTGGGGAGTTTATCTATATGCGCTACTAACTGACCCGGTCGATGGGTCTAGACCTTTTAGCTGAATCGTTAGAGAGTCGGCGTGTGGACTGGTGCCCGGGTTTGGTTGTGGGTTCGAGCACTGGCGGGAAACACCCGTTCAAATTACTTTAGCCCGGGGCGTACGTCACACCGGGGCCGAAGAGACTTGGCACGTCGCCCGGGGGTAGGGACTTTGGCACGTCACCGGCCCCCCGATCTGTCACGTCCGCCAAAGAATACCGCTAGGGCCACGTCTACTCCTTTAGCGACCTCGCCGGTTGGATTCACGGTGACCGGCCGGACCCCACGCACTCAGCCGCAGATGCCGAGGCCTAGGCAGATCTTCTGGTAGTCGTCCATGGCCGCAGCACCGCTTCGCTGCCGACGGGAGGCCCATCTGCTCCACCTGCCAGGAGGTGGGACATATCAGTCGAGGTTGCCCCGCAGCACAGGGAGGTCCACCAGGCCGGGGCCCTTCACCACAGACCAACGCCACTTTCGTCGACGGCACTGCTTTGGCACTGCCCTCACACTGTTGGAGCGCGAAACCTTCTCTCCGTGGCAAAAACTCCCTCGGCAGCAAATCGTCCCTCGCGGCCGCATATTACTCGCGTCGCTCAGAGAAAAAATAACGCCGACGCCCGACAAGACTGCGAAGGAGGCTAAATATATCTAGTAGTGGACAGGATGCAATGCGTCACAGGATGCCGAACACCTTTTAATTGAATGAAAGAATGAAACAAAGAAGGAAAGACATTTATTATACGTTTGTGCTCTAACAAGCTAAGTTCAGGTCATGGATAAACAGGGTAAAGAATACAGCAATGACACTATACATACTAATGTGATGCATTATTACAGGTTCAACTTCTCGCTTTTAGCTTCTTTAGGTAGTTATAGATGTAAGAACATCTATATTGGGCCAATGATACATTGTCAAGTTTCATATAGCATAAGGAATGCGAATTTTTCTATTTCGTCTAAATGTCTAAAGTTTGGGAACTTATCTATTATATACATATAGAGGGAATCCCTCTCATTTCTACATCAAGTACAATCAACTACAAAATAAACCGCGTCTGCATCGAATCTGTTGGAGTCTGAGAGAGTATTTGCCTTGCCATTCGGAAATCATCACAAGCAACACTAGAGGACTTATACACAGTTCCTGGATGCTTTTATATAGAAGTATAGAAGTAGAAGGTAGACATCAGAAATATCTGCACAGCTCTAATTTTTCCAACGCTAAGGTGTATTTCGAGCCTACATACATGTATATTGTCCCTACTCTCTGTTGTTGCAGGTGCCAGCATGCGTGCCAACGTGGGGCTCGTCATACAATTGGCAGTCGTTCTGCCTCGGTAGAGCGGTCATTACCAGACGACGATTAAAAATCGGATGAATATTAATATACAATTCACGCTGTACTTTCCTACGCTTCCTTTTAAAGGGGGAAACTTGTTTTACTTCGTCGGAGATGAGCCTGATTACAACAGAAAGGAAGGCCTACAAATTTGGAATAACATTCTGTACGATATTGTTCTGGAACTTGTTTCACAAGAAGAGAAGTCACAAACACTTATGACAGAACCCAGTAGTTTCTTTCGTCACAAAGGATACAGATTCTTTATTGACACAACAAAAAGTACAGGGACTTGCCCAATGTTCGATCCGGTACAACAACAAGACCGGGCGGAGGTTTGATGATGCTGTTGAGGGGATGATGTTGGCCCCTATAGGAGGGGAGTTTTGAAGGCAATGGTGTCAAAAACGTCCGATACGGTCTGTGATGATGACGGTGATAATAGCAGGAACTCGAGCAGGTTTCTCCTCCAAGTAGAGAAGGATGGCGGCGAACGCCAAGAAAAGGAGCAACCAGGAGAAGAGTCGGACACAACTAGCGTCGGTGCGGACACCCTCATCTGTGGGCCGAGATTTCCAACTCTCAAAGATGTGGACGTTTTTAACCTGCGAGCCAGCGCCGGCATGGGCGCCTTCCTGTACCAACAACAACCAACAACAGTACTAGACAACGGGACAGAAGAACCCGTGTGGGTAAAAAGAGACTCTTCGAAACACGACCAACTGGAAAATTCACATGTATGCAATAAGATTCATCATCAAGACACTCAACAGAAGAGTAACAACAGACAAGACAGGTCTGGAAATGCCACAGTTCAGGGGAGGAGGGTTGACCGAGAGCAAGGGCAAAACCAAACGACAGAAAGAGACAGAAGACGGTCTGAAAGTACTGCGAAGGACACCGGCAGCGGGGGTCCTGAGGACACCCAAGCGGCGGCACCAGACGGAGGATGGGGCTGGATGATCGTCCTGTCCGGCTTTATCGTTGAGATTTGCCTGGGAGGATTTGCCAGGGCGGTCGGTGTGTTCTTTGTAGAATTTGTGGACGCGTTCGGTGTGGGGTCGGCCGATATATCCTGGTCCATCAGTATCATGTGTGGGATCACCTTTTGTGGAGGTAAGTTCTTCAGTATTTCAAATAATCACTTTTCATAGTGTGAGACAGCTCCGATAGATGAACAAAAAAAAACGACTTCGCGTAGTTTAGCCGAGCGACTTCTCAAATTCGAGACCCCTGCCTACTCTATTCGATCAATTAAACCCCTGTCACTCTTAGAACCAAGGTTGGCTGACTAGATTGTTTTCTGGAACATTCTAAACCTTAAAAATTAATTGGATGCCTTTAAGAATTCCTATCACCTTCCCAGGCTTGGTGTCCTCCGTGCTGTGCCGGAGATTTGGAGCCCGTCCCCTGGTGATGATAGGCGGCGTGGTGGGCGCCGCAGGGCTGCTCCTCACCAGTTTCTCTACAACCATTCTTCACCTCAACCTGTCACTAGGGCTCACCACAGGTTAGTCTACAATCCACACAGTTTGATACTATCATGAAAGCTAATCTGTGCTGGTAGCTGTTGGTTGGCAGCTACATGTTTAGAGTTAAAACTTTTGATCCAACACGAAAAAAGTTCTCTCACCTAGAGCTTTCGACATGTGAGCACTCGTGAAAAATCCTGGTTGTATAAAAGAAAACTCCTGTATTCTATCTCACAATATTTTAACTCCTATGCTTTTTCTCCAGGACTCGGATTCGCCCTGGTGTACAACCCAACCTTCATTATTATCGGGCAGTACTTCCATCAAAAGCGCCACCTGGCGTACGCCATGATGGTGACAGGAACGGGAGTTGGCGGCTTCATCTTCTCTCCGGTGTTCCAGCTGCTGATCGACCAGTACGGCTGGCGGGGGGCGATCATCGTGCAGGCGGGGGTGACGCTGAACCTGTGCGTGGCCGCGGCGCTGATGAGGCCGCTGCAGGCGTCACCTGTAGTTCACCGCCCCTCGCAGGCGTACATCTCTCAGGGTTCTCTCTCAACCGTGTCACAACACGCCGACAGCGACCACCCCAACAACACAACCCCTACAATTTACGTCGCTGCTCCATTGGAAAGAGACGAGGCGGAGGACAAAGTTAGCCAGAAAACGTCAGTGGAAATTGAGGAGGAAACACCACAGGACCAGCAAGACTCCGTGGCGCCTGGCTCGCCTGTACCGCACGGCAGACGCGCACGCCAGCGGGGCGTGAGCGAATGTTCCATCGGTGCTGTCAGCCTGCGACTGCTGGAGTCCGCCTCCAGCCAGGAGTCTCTTCCCTGCATACCTGAGATGACCGACGAAGACGCGTCGCAAAAGCGCCTGGAAAGCGTCTCCGTCCACGTGCTACGCACAGCACGGTCCCACATGTCGCTGTCCAGGAGGGTGCTATACTCCTCCCAGAGGATGCTGGACGTGCTATCCAGGAGCGAAACGCTGCTGTCCCTCAGCTCACAGCTCACCTACGAGACCACCATCCACAGCACGCTGGCGGGGAAACCAGGACTGTCCATCCGCTCCGTCGTGGCTACGATATTCGACCCGTCCCTGATAAAAAGCGTCTCGTTTGTCCTCCTCAACATCTCGTTCTTTCTCTTCCACCTTGGCTACCTCGTGCCCGGGATCGGCGTCGTTCCCAGGGCACAGCGTGCAGGTATAGAAGAGACCCGCGTGTCATTTCTTCCATCTATCATCTCCATCTCGGACCTAGTCGGGCGGCTGTTTTCAGGCGGCTTGTCCAAAGTCCCTGGCTGCACTCGGACTTTCCAGTTCATCACGCTGAACGTGGTGATAGCGGTGGGAGCGGTGGTGTTCCCGGTGACGCAGACGTACTCCGGGATGGCGGCCTACGCGGTGTGGCACGGGCTCGCTAACGGGCTGTGCTACCCGCTCATCCCGACCCTGGTGGTGGACGTGGCGGGGGTGGAGAGGATCGCCAGCGCCATGGGACTGGTCATGTTCATCACCAGTATCGGACTGACGCTGGGACTGCCTACTGCAGGTGGGGCACTGCTAGCCTCTACCGGGGCTACGACTGGAAAGAGCAGAAATTGGCCGGAAAGACAGATAGCTAGACTAGAGAGTATATTTTGCCACTCCGCTGTCTTCCTGGCTAATTTCTACGTCTTCCTAGCCGTTTCCCGGAGCCTGGTAGAGAATAGGTCACTACATTCGCTCTCGTCTACTTAGCAAAGACCACTAATAGTAATAGACTTTTGTATCTTAATATATGGGAATTATGTTTGAAAAAAAGTGGTCAAAATTCTTCTGAGACCGTCAAAAGCACACATTGGCGAGGAACTGTTGATCTAGTAAAACTTGAAAATTTTATACAGTGGAATCTGTTGCAAATACTACCGTAAGACGTACAAGTGACCCGTCTGAACAGCTGATGACTGCATGCTCTTCACTATTATTGTGCAAGGTGTGCAAGGGAAGCAACACCAGCTGTCAAGGAGGTCATGTAATGAAAAAAAAACACCTGTGAAAACTGCGAGTACTACATTGTACCAGATGTAGATGTGATAAATGACTTTTTACCTCTGGGACAGACTGAACCCAACCATATCCATTACAACCTGCCCTAAGGACCACGTGGAAACACATACATACACACAGACACTCACCAAAAAAAAACCTCCATTTAAGTAATCATGAAAGGGTATGTATGAGGTTTTCCACAGCTTGGTGTTGGTCATTTATGGTATCGAAATCATTGACAAGTATGTTTTCTCTCTCCAGGGATCCTGTATGACACAACTGGCAGTTACGACGCGTCCTTCTACTTTGTGGGCGCATGCTTCCTAATGAGCGCTGCGGTTATGGCTTTCTCTCACATTCTGTCCATCAGAAGACAGGACGGTGTGCCTGAAGGATCCTGATCTGGGCACCAACGAGTTCTTTGGCAAAGCCTAAGCATGTTTATTTTCTTGAAGTACCTTCAATGGTGATACATTTCTGGGACAGCATACATGTACATATACATCAGACATCACAGAGTATAAAATATATTGTAATGACATGGACTACAGTTCTGGTGATAAAAATTAAAGGCATCCAATATGCAATTTAAGAGTGGAAAAACTGGATTCCTAAGGTTGACCGTATCCCATTAAATGTCTGGAACTGGCTCTGTGTTTCTTATTGTCTAACCAATGCAAAGGAAAGTTGAATGGAAGAGTGAAAGTCAATCATTCAGACTCTAATCATTAGAAATAAAACATTAGTTCCCAAATATTACAGGTAAATTCAAACTTGCCCAAGCGACCAAATCTATTGATTTATAAGGAAACTTAAAGGCATAATCATTTGTTGGCTCCCTGTTCAAGTCCTGTAATCATTTTACATGAAACTTGGTACACAGCATTACTTTTAGGTCATACACATTGAAAATAATTTTTTTTTATTTTTAATTTCACCTAGATTCATTTGATCTAACATGTTTCACCATTTCACCACATTGCTAGGCAATTCACACATTGCTTTTTTTTCCTTCTTCAAAACAAAGTTACACCAACTAGAATTCTTTTATTGTAATAATAAGCTTTAAAATTGATTTCTTCGGGTACTTCGATGCAAACAGAACAATAACACAAGTAAATATCAATGAATAGTTTCATCATGTTGGTAAGTCACTGAATAAAAGACACCTTAAAGTTCCCTTCTACTATGTAAATATACTTTGCATTTGGGAAGGCATCTGTAAGCAGTGACACCTGTGCTGTACAATGTGAACCAATCAGAGTTGCCCTGAGAAAGGTGACAGACAGTCACTGAAACGTCAGCTGAAAACACATGGTTGTGTACAAATAGTCCTTTTATTCATTGACTTCTGCTGTCATTTTGAATAGGAAGGCTTTGGAAAACATGTTGAAGGATGACTACAGAAATGTTTTGTAAATGCAAACAGAACCGAAATAACATAAGTCAACAGGTAAGATAGGATAAAAACCACAAGTGTTCTAGCCAGGGTCCGTTTTTCCATCATTTGACGCTCATGATGGACAAATAAATATTTTGCCCAATCCACAAAAATTGGCGTGATACATTTACTAAATTTATTCGACAAGCCTCAAAATGCAGGAAACATTATATTTCAGAGGGTCATGATTTCCACATTTTCCTGGGGGAGCATGCCCTGGACCCCTAAGGTCCAAACAAAATTGAGATGACGGAAAAAAATTCAGGCTGGCTGGAACACTGCTATTAACAATGACAATCCATCTATCTGGTGTGAAAACTACTCTGGTGCCACTTCAGTGACGGCGGTGTCTTGTGAGGCTGTCAGCAGGTGTTCCACCTCATCCATGGGGAAGTCATCGTCAAACTCTGCAGTCATCTCCTTCTTGATAGGTTTGGGCCTCTGGATGCTCGGCGTGTGGGGCGTGGTCTTGGGAGCGTGGCCCCCGTTCAACACCTTCTGACTCTCCTCAAAATACTGGTTGGGATGGTTCAGTCCAAACCCTGCGTCATCCACCTGAAACATGGACAAACTGTTAATTTAAAAGCGATAAGATCTTCACTATTTTTACACATTTTATTGCCCTATAAGCCTACCTGGGTTAGTGATGCAACCTAAACCCAATTTCAGGTTCAGGTCCGGATTCAAGTCCAGAGGTTTAGGTTCAGGTCTGGACTTAAGTCCGGACCTAAACCCATGGCATATACAAAATCGCATGTTGGCAACCTCGCAATGTTGTCAGGGTGAAACTTTGGCCACATAACATGGAGGCCGGTACTTGACGATGCCCGATGGCAATGTTTTCTTCATTTTGCAGCAAAGATTTTGGAATCTACGGAAGGTTTTAGGTGGTTTAAAAAGAAAAGGGGTATGTGAAATGGTCTTTTATGGTAATAAGTCCGGACTTGGTTCTTGACTTTTAGGTTTTTTTGGACTTGAACCTAAACATTTTACAAGTCCGGATTCAAGTCCAGTGAACCGGTATGCACCACTAACCTGGGTTCATAATGACATTTGGGGAATAAAAGACCAATGTCATTGCGCCGCAAATGTAGATATTATGCAGAAAAAAAAGTCCTACTTTGTAAGACGACACAGTTGAAAACTTACATTGTGTGTAATCTCGAAATACTTTGTGCAGGCCAGCTGGTAGTGTCCTCCCTTCACCAAGTCTACGATCTGTAAAAGTCACCATGTAACCAAATTAAGACAGCAAAACAGACAGAAATAGCAGTACCGATATGTTACATTGAAAGATTTTACATGAGCACTAAAGGACCAAACTCTCTAAATGTAGCTAAAAACAAACAAACATGGCAATGACACATAAAGCATTATTATGTCCAAAGAAATTTCACCCATATCTTATACTATTTCAATGGTAGGTCAGTGTTTGAGACTCTTGTCCATTAACATTATCTATTGGAATGTTTCAAAATCCTGTCCATGTCACTGACCTTGTGCCCTTGGGAAAGACACTTTACGCGACTTTCCTCACTTCACTCAGGTGTAAATGAGCTTCTAGCTTTGGTTAGTGACGTCCCTCAGATAGGACGTCAAATAGAGGTCCCGTGTTTGGGGAGAGCCACGCCTACGCACGTAAGAGCCCACCGCACTTATCGAAAAGAGTAGGGGACCTTCCCAGTGTGAGTGCATGGTTTGGTCTAATGCAGCTTGTACTTACATGTACAAAACTGGTGTGTTACACCTGAAGGCAGTTTACCAGTTATGCAAAACAAACAAACTCCTAACCTCCTGTACCCCGGCAGAGTTGACCCTGTACCCCTGCAGCCTCTGTTTCAGCAGCTCAGGGTCCGTGTGGCGGAAGGGACACCCGTGGTGGTCGCCGGCCGCCGGCGCGTTGGTCATGATCACCTTCATGCAGCTGTACGGGGTGTAGTCTGTCCGCTTGCCCTCCTTCCCGTAGTTGTGACGGATGTTGTAGGAGTAGGACTTGTCAAACTAGGACAGATGGGAATAGTTCAAGGTTTGAACTGCAACTTATAGTACAACTACATTGTACATGTAGTAGATCTGTTTATGAAATGTTTGTGTGATGGACTTGATCTCTTAGCTTCCAAACCAATTGAGAAAAATTGATCCCTGGTAACTTTTATTGATTATCCAGAAACTATTTCTTAAGTCTAGGGTGAAAGCACACATTTGTCTATACAGTTCCTTAATGTAACCAAAAACATGAACCTTGTTTTGAGGTGAAAATTGAATATTAGGCCACACCAAGTAAATTTTATGGATGACGTACTTTGGAGACCCTAAATCTAATGCGAGAGGGCGAAAAAAAAACAAGAAGGGCTCTAAAAAACAAGATGCCTAGATAAGAAATATTGCACTGCTGACAGGACTGTTAATAGTTCCAAAAACGGCACTGTTTTGGAACTATTGACAGGATTTTTTTCAGTGCCATTTTGTTTGTTTTTTTTTAACCAGGCACAGGCTTTCGGCGTTATGGGTTTCACGTCAATCTGACGATTTGCGGCACTGTCGTGACTCTTTGGTCATAGTTACAGGAAGCGGAATTTCTTGTTTTTTTTTCTAGGAACATGCCAAAATCAATGCGCGCGCGGACGTCATCCATAAAATTTACTTGGTGTGGCCTTAGTAAAAATAAAATCTTGACTTCCCTCCCCCCTTACCTTGTCTCCATCCATCATCTTGGTGAACTCTGACCTCCAGAAGCGTAGCGCGTCCTCCAGCTGTAAGCCGATGCCCTTCAGGAACAGTCCGTACTGCATCCGCCCGCCGTGCCGCAGGTGGTGCTCCTGCCGCAGCGTCTCGTGGAGGTTCCGCATACAGAGGGGGAACGACTTCTTGGACAGCTGTGGGGTATCGGGGAGAGGTACAAGTACATGTAGGCTGAGTCAGGAAACATATGGACTCTTCGGGAGCAAAAACCATTGCAATTTATTGTTCTAGATTGCGATATTTGTAAATTGTCAATGCATTTTATTATGTAAAATACTGTTTGTATGTAGTGAATTGTTTTTAAACTTTGTAAATTGGACATAATTCAGTGGTCCCACTGCAATGTTCAATAAAGTGACCTTGAATCTTGAACTGCAGCGAGTTGCTACCCTGGTTACACAACCTATGTATTTTTTTTTAGCTCACAAGTCCCTCCAGAGAGGATAAAGACTTGGGGGCTAATATAGGTCTGGTAGATGACAGGATATGACATAATATGGTTTTCTCAGGGCGGGAACAACAGGACTCAACTTAAGCCAGCACACGACTCAGCAGTAAATAGAAACATGTAATGTATAGTTGGGTGGAAGAACTTACAGGTTCAATATCTTCAGGTGCCACTTTCCCAGCTGTAGCCTTCCTGTTACTGTAGTCCTGGCCTAGGTACTGTGTACTGTGGGATGGAAATACAACAGGCTTGTAAGACATGGTGACTGTAGGGTAAACTTGTTAAGCTTGTCTAAGATGACCACTCTGGGGACTGAAGAAAAGTCTGCTCTACTTACAAGTGGTTTTCTTATACAAAATGCATGGCAACAAGAGAACAAGAAATGGTGAAGCAATACTTACTGAAGGTTGGCAAGCCTTTTAAGCAGCCTCTCATCTTCTTGTAGGGTGGGCAGAGCTCGAGCTGTAACCTACGTTACAACAATGTACATGTATGATTTACATTCATGAAGACACATCATGACAGTAGAAAGGTAACATTAGCATTGAATGCATACATGTAATGTTTACCTTTACCTGGTCTAGCCTAACAAACTACTGCTGTTTATTCTAACTCAAAGCTAAATACATTCATATATGAGGTGACCAAGCCCTCCAACTCTGTCCTGCTCCAAAATGTATCACCCAACACCACAGGGTGTCTGCTACAGCACAAGATGCCATGGTGACAGACTTCTGGTCCAGGTCATTGACTTCATTTGTTTCACTTTGGAACGAAAGAAGAAGAGGAAGAAGAAGAAACTGAGCAAAAACAATATGTACAAAGGAAAACATAAGTACATGTAGAAAAATGTATCGATGAATGCATTGATTCTGATATAATGTAGTGGTGTTAAGATTTTCATCAGCCAACAGCATGCATACATATGCACCCAGTATATGTAGCCCTTTGATGGCAATGTAAACTGGACTCACTGCGAGGGCCTTGGACAGGTTTCCCCTGAAGGAACTGAGGATAATGGACACCAGCTCACTCCCGGGCACGTACACATAACCCTGCATATGAGGGGGGAGAAGGTAAATTAGCTACTGTATTCTATATCTGTATCGGTATAGCTGGTATAGCCCCCCTTTGGCACAAGCTTCTGTATCTGTATCTGTATGGTCGGTATAACCGCCCTCTGGCATAACACACCAGCTTCGCAAGCACGCAGCACGGTGGCAGCTGGCTGCATTACACTGAACGACTTGTTACACTCAAGTTTTGCACATTTAACTGCAGGAATTGTTTAAAGCATTCTAGTGAAAAAAATTTATGTAAAATCAGTACCGACCTTCTTGAGGTACACTTTCCGTGCTCTCACCAGGTCAAGGGCTTCTTGAAATGGCACCTGTGAGAAGATATAAAAGTATAATGCATTAATAACAAGACAAGAACTAGCTTATTTGCAAACCTAGTTATGTTTGTGTATTAATTTGTAATTCTATTTAATGATAGATGATGCTTGTTTACCTGTCCTTCTGTGATTCTATGGGTACTTTTGTTCTACTTAATCTGTAGTAAAGCTAATGTTGCTTTAATTTGCATTGTGAAAAAAAATACATACAATACATGTATGTCAAGAAGCCATACCTTATAAAAGTCGGTGGTCTCAAACTTGTCTCCCTTCATCTCGTATGACGAGGACTTCAGGTCATCCCGCAAGGCCCTCTTCTCTTCCTCTGGGATCTGATGACGACATGACGTTACTTCAAACAAAATTTGAGATGATAGAAAAAATTTCAAGCTGGCTAGAACACTGATGTGTTTGGCAGGAACACAGTCCATCATTTACACCAAATTTGACATTATACTAAAAAGTATACCTTCGCATATGGTCTGCTCTGTTAATTCTTACTGAAACACATTCATACCATGTATATGGTCAGACAGGAGTATAAATCTCTCCTGCTGTAAAATTGCAACATGATGTAACCCAACACCAGTTACCATGGTGACGGACATCTGGTTCAGGTCATTGACCTTATTGGTTTGGAGAAGAAGAGGAGAAAACAGAGCAAAAACAATATGTTTTCCTTCAGTAAACATAATTAAGTATTTTGGAACACTTCTTGCAGTACTCTTTCCATTCTCAGAGACAACGAATGTACCACAGCTTACAGGGCGATAGTCTAAGTCGTTCTGCCTCAGAAAGTGACCAATTGTGTCCGTGTTCTCGTTCCCGAAGCGAAAGCGGAACAGGTCCATCTCCTGGATCAGGAACCAGCGCCGTAGCTCTTCACTAATGGGACACAGGACAGAAATAAAAAATAATGTACATGTACAGAAATGTACATTGTATATATATATATATATATATATGTTATATGGATGACCCCAAAACTGATGTGAGCATGCAAATGATAAAAAAATGTTTGGTCACCCAAAAAGTTGCTTTCATTATGAAATCTATGCGGTCATGAAGGTTGAACAAATGACTAAACACATAGTATGGTATGGTAAATAATAGACCAGTTTTTCAAGACTGGACCAGAAACAAAACATTGATTTTCTTAAACCACCTTTGGAAATATAGTTAAGATTAACAACACACAGTATGTGGATGTGGGGCATTGAAACGTACGATTTACAGTAGGCCAGTCTGAGGATGAAGTGGGAGATGTGGTCCTTTCTCCTGTCATCATAGTCCTTATCCTGCATGCTTCCCTCCACATCAGTCTGTGAAACAAAGGCATCTATCAAGAGATCTGAGATTCCAAACCTCAAGAAACCTCCACATCACACGAATAAAATTTAACGCTGTGAGACGTTTTCATAAATGTAACTTTGTGAATGTGGTGTGTAATTTGCATGCAAATAACAGCTGTGTGCAACTGATTATGTAACCTGCTTTCCCCTCTGGTCTCTCAGTCACTGACGAAAGCTAGTGGATACTAGCTGAAACGTCTGACGTTTTCAAAATCATATCCAGTTGCTTGAGTAACTGTTTTTTGGCATATCGTATTACCTGGATGTCTAACCTTCATCGACGTGAGATAATAATATATTATATAGATGCTAATGTGCTTTCCTGACCCTTCTGACAGCAATGGGCATGAGTTTCTTGATCTCCTGCTCCAGTTTTTGCGTGTACTGCTCAGAGGTCTTCATGTACTTGATCCCTGCACTCTCCACGGCTTTTAGGACTGAAAAATCAGATGTGAGAAGCAAAGATGAAACAAAGATGCCATGGAAACATGAAGGGGTGAGTAGTTAACGTTTATAAGGCCACACAAAGTAAATTTTATGGATGACGTCCGCGCGCGCATTGATTTTGGCCTGTTCCTAGAAAAAAACAAGAAATTCTGCTTGCTTCCTCAAAGAGTCACGACAGTGCCGCAAATCATCAGATTGACGTGAAACCCGTAATGCCGAAAGAAAGTGTCTATTGACAGGACCATCCTGCCAATAACAGAAAACAGGACAGGACGACAACTGCTGTTCCACCTGATTTATTGCTGTTTTGATGATGAGACTTCTTGCTTGTTACACTGTGTCACCTCATTCAATTTGCGTCCTAACATTTGTCGTCTCTTAGTATATTTCTAATCTAGGCATCTTGTTTTTTTTTCGCCCTCTCGCATTAGATTTAGGGTCTCCAAAGGACGTCATCCATAAAATTTACTTGGTGTGGCCTAAAAAAAAAGACTTATCCTAGCCCTTATTGTTTCATTTATTTAGGATGTTAAATTTTATATTATATACTCCTTTTTTGTACTTTGTTCAATAGCTGTTGCCAAACATGGTAACATGTCGTGCAAATTATATAACAAAGTTCTTTCTCTTAAATCATGACATGTCACTGTCAAACCTTTGAGTCGATCTATCGCGAAGGTCTCAAATTCTTCCAGCGACACCGTCTCGTTCGGAGGCACCGTGTAGAACTGGAGGTTGTGCTGGTATCGGCTCTCGTTCCTCCCTCCTGTCAGCGTTACCGTCCGCCGACTTTTCTTCGTACGCTTGCCTGAAAACTGCATTTTGGAGAGATAAATCTGAACACTTCTGGAGCACAAAAATGTCCAACTTTCTTCTTCACCGGACTTCCCGCCAAAATACAGGTCAAAGAGTACCACGCATGCGGTCTACTACACATTTCTCGTTCCCAGCATCTTCTTGCACAGCTCTCGTACTCAGGGTGGAATTTTTTTATTTTATCAAAATCACATAATAGAATATTACGGAAATATAAGGAACCCCAGATGACTTATTATTTGCGGAAACTGATTTGAAGCAAGTTTTAGAATAGTTTTCTGTCTTTGGAGAGAGACTAAAATATCCCAGTCGTGACCTTTGAACCCCCTGGTGTGCAACTCGCTGTCAAGGAAGAAACATCCAGGGCTCATCAAAACGGTAAGAAAAACGGGAGATTTATAATAATTTAGTGAATTTGATATCAGCCACGAAATAACGACGATGATATTGACTTACCAAGTGTATGAATTTGATTTTTTCGTATCAGGGAACTATCTAGAAGCAATAAATAACCGTTAACGTTATTGTGTGATAGGAAAATTATGATGTTGACTAGTATGACTATCAAAAATTATGACTTGATTTTATCATAATACATATGATCGAGCTGTAGCAGCTTAGGTGTGGTTAGTAAATGGGTTTGTTATTTGGTAGCTAGGTAATACACTGATGATTATAATTTACTGTCCTCACTACTTTATACTGTATGGCCCTGTATTCTGGAGTAGGTTTTCCATCCACATGGAAAATTCATAACCACAATGTCCAAAAGATGGGCCGCAAATTAAGTGTGCCCCATAGTCAAGGACTTGATCTAATCCCATTGTCTATAATATATATATGCTGTTGATAGGCGTAGATTTTAATACCTTGAGTGCAGCTTCCTTTTGTTGCCATAGCTATTTCATTGTCAATTAGTAATCCATGAAAAATGGAGGTATTGTTTTTGGTTTGTCTGTATGTGTGTCTGTTTGTGCGTGTGTCCATGTGTGTATCTGTGTTTCCACATGGCCCTTTGGTCAGGTTCCAATGTAGCCGCGGCGACTGTTGCAGGGCTTCTCTTGCTTGCAGTCTTTTACATTAGCCCTAACATTAGTAACAACAGTCGCGGAGCGGTGCATTGGGCCAAATGAACAAACATGCGTTTCACCGTGCCGGAACACTTTGAGACCGAAGTTTGCACGTCCCTAGATTCCTAACAGCCTCACCTAACGTGCTGGGGTGTTTTGCGCGTCAACCGGCCCCTGCCCGGCTCGTACCGTCACTATTTACGATCGCTCCCCACGTAAAACATAACAGTTGGCCGCCATTTTTGATTGGAATCAGCCGCCGGCAAATTTGCCGCTACTTTTCTGATAACCTATTTCTATGGAAAAGTAGTGGCACATTTGCAAGTAGCTGATTCACCGCGCTGCTGGCCAAGATGGCGGCCATTCGGCTTATGAATACATGGGGAGCGATTGCAAATAGTGGCGGTACGAGCCGGGCAGGGGCCGGTTGACGCGCAAAACACCCCAGCACGTTAGGTGAGGCTGTTAGGAATCTAGGGACATGCAAACTTCGGTCTCAAAGTGTTCCGGCACGGTAAAACGCATGTTTGTTCATTTGGCCCAATGCACTGCTCCGCAACTGTTGTTAGGGCTAATGTAAAAGACTGCAAGCAAGAGAAGCCCTGCAACAGTCGCCGCGGCTAGTTCCAATGTACTAAGTATATCAAGTCGATTCAGTCTATCCCCAGAGAAAGAAAGTCATTAGTCAAACAAACAAACAATCAAATAAACATCTGGTATCACTCACTGTTTTCACAGGTGTTTTTTATTACATGACCTCCTTGACACCTTCGTCAACAGCTGGTGCTGTACAAGATCTACTTGTAGATATTTAATTAAGGAGGTCTGAGATCTCTGAATTCTTGTTTCATAGTAACATGTCTTACAATTGTCCTGTGTTTAGGTTGGAAACTGTAGACTCCAGGAAGTACTGTATCACCAGGAGTGATGGGAGACCAGGAGGACCTTCCCGAGGGATGGGAGAAGAGAGTCAGCAAGAGCCAGGGTTGGACAATATTTCACATATTCACTGACGCTATACTACGTGTATATATATATAGTATAGAGCCAGTACATGGTCATTTCCACTAGACTGGATCAGCTTCAAACTGGTCCGAAAATTTAAATGGCATATTTGCATGTATTTTAACTTGTAGCAAGGAAAAATAGTAGATGTGACAAGTGTTTGTTTTACACCAATGCAGGGAGAGCTTACTATCTCAACGTGTATACAAAGCAAAGTCAGTGGGAGAAGCCTACAGATGCTGCAACATCACAGGTAAGACTAGGACTGGAAAATAGTTTAGGGAGCTACGGAAGCCTTTGGCAGATTATGACAATATTGTGTTTGATTTGAAGGGCATGTGTCATGCAATGCACAACTGCATGGGCCATGGCTGAAACATTTCAGTCACTCAAATGGTATTATCAGTGGTATCAAAAGAACAAGAAATAGTCATGCCTTCAAGTACCAGAGTTATCAACTCATTGAAGTGTTCAAAAACCTAGATCATGTTTTGGAATAGACCTATGTTTTGGATTAGGCCATGTTTTAGAATAGACCTGTGTTTTGGAATGGACCTATGTTTTGGAATGGACCATATGGCTTGCATGTTTTGAAATAGACCATATGCATGTTTTGGAATAGACCATGTTTTGGAATAGACAATGTTTTGGAATAGACCAATGTTTTAGAATAGACCAATGTTTTGGAAAAGACCATGTTTTGGAGTAGACCATGTTTTGGAATCAAGATGCTTTCCACTTCTTAGTACTAGTATTTGTCGTAGTTTTTGAGTTCAACATGGATATATCATGTGTCTGTAAGATGACTTGGAATGTCTCCCACAGGTGCGCTGTTCCCACTTACTGGTGAAGCATGTCGGCTCCAGACGACCATCGTCATGGAAACAGGACAAGATAACCCGCACTCAGGAAGAGGCCTTGGAGATGATTAACGGTAAGCTATTAATAGTAGTATCCGGTCCTTGATTGTACTGCTGCGGGGGTCCCTGACACAGGTGGGCAGCAGTCGGCTATAGCTAGTCTTCACACCCTGTTTCCAAGTGACTCTGTCCAGTGGGTTCACACCAGCAAGGCCACACTCTCTATTGTCCTTCCTGATACTAGGTCTTTCTTGGTCTACACCGACAGGTGCAGGTAGACATCAGAAATACATGTACCTTCACAGCTCCAATTTTACCTGCACTAACCTGCATATACCCAGTACATGGACCAGTGCAGGTAGACATCAGAAATACCTGCACAGCCCCAATTTGACCAGCACTAATCTATGTGCACCCATTATTTCGAGCCTTGTTGCAATAATATGTACGTTGTGTTGTCCACAGATTTCCGTGAGAGAATCGTGTCGGGCCAGGTGACTCTCGCTGTCTTGGCAGCTACGGAGAGTGACTGCAGCTCGGCCAAGAAGGGGGGCGATCTGGGCTTCTTCGGACCAGGGCAGATGCAAAAGCCCTTCGAAGAAGCAACCTTCAAGCTGAAAGTGGGGGAGCTGAGTGAACCAGTCTTCACCGATTCTGGCATCCACATCATACATAGGACAGGGTAGTTTTATGCTGAGCTGATGACATGATACTAACCTAACATGGCTGACTGACCAGTAATTTACATGCTTGACTGGGGCAAAGTCCTAACTGCCCTATTATATTTGCTGTCATTGAAATATGCTTGGGCCACACCAATTTAATTAATTGGTTCCTGGATTTGCCTGCTTCATTTTTTTCTGATTTTCAAAATTCAGGTTCTGATCAACAACATTTTGGTCCAAACAGTTGAAGAAAGCTCCTTGTTTTTATTGTTTTTCCATCAATGCATTGGTTCAATTGAAAGTTTCGAAGTCATTGTTTGAATTATACACTTGCCTAGTATATACGTTGACGTCATGGCCCCCGGTATCATAGCTTTTAGGACTATCAGTCGAGGCCTAGGTCTATTTTTATTTTCAATTTTTTTCACCGTCACTTCATTCTTTTCCTGAAAAAATCCAAGAACCAACAAATCAAATTGGTGTGGCCTTAATAAGAGTGCTTGGTGGAACCAATAGCTGCAATAAGATACAATCCAATTGATGCTCTTCCATAGTAAGACAAATCTCACCGTGGGGTTGTGCAAAGTTCTGATTTAATCCAAAGACATCTTTGCTAATGTTGGTAATGGCATGAAGAATATAGCAACTATCATGTATAACTTTGTAGTGTACTGTTGTAAACTGTGTACATGTGGTAGTCAGGGAATGTAATGAAGGCTTAGAGGATGGAGTCATGGTGTTTTGACTGAGTGTTGGACCAAACAGGATGCAAAGCCACTTCACTCTTTTGAAAGGGTTGAAATGAGAAGGCAATACAACTGGTTTATGATTCTCTTGTTTCGGTAAAGCCCCTGTCACACAGAGCCGAATATATGGCCGCCTGAACACTGCCAAACTCCCCTTAACCATGGCTGGAGTAGGTGACATCGGGAGCAAGGTCGGCTGTGGTTGGCTGGTGTTCTATGAGTTCAGCAAATGTTGGGCTGTGTCAGTCAAACGTTTCGAAATGCTGAAAGCATTCAAGTGTGAATGGGAGTTTCGGGACTAGTGTTGACTAAGATTTGATTTGTATAGAAAGGCAGGTGTGGCCTGAATCAGGTCAGACTGCTCCCGAACTTCAGCCAACTCCCTTGGTTGGTTGGTGTTCGGGGGAAGGTTCTGCTGAATGTGTGACAGTTAAGCTTTGATAGCATTCCAGCGCTACTCTAACCTGTACTAGACATCAACCATAATTATGAAATAATAACCATATGGAACAAGAACTTTCACCAATGATTTAACTCTATTTGCTTAGCTGTTGATGGGACTTAAATTATTCTCTACCAATGGACCTATCACATTATTACCGGTCAATCCACGTTTATATTGTACAGGGGTGCGTAGCACGGTGTGTGTTTGTGTAGCGTTAGCCTTTATACATGTATAATTCCTTTACACAGTACTATGTCTAGTGTCAGAACTAAATCACCAAATAACGGCATGTAGTACTAGTAATGCTGTCAACAAAACTAGACAAAGCAAAAATCAAACATACCTGACTTTGAAATGATCTTTATTCTTTAACTGACGGTTCTAGAATGTTCTTTAGAACAGGTGAACAAACTGTGAGGTAATAATGTGATAGGTCCATTGTCCAGCACTTGAGGGGGTGGGTAAAATAGGTGAATGGGTGAGCATTTGGGAGGAATAAAACAGTACATCAAGTAATTACACCAGTCACAGATGCCGTACTGTACACTTTATTTCAACATTTGCGCAACAGAGTCAACTCCACACCAGCGGTAATACAGTGTTTGTATGTCTATTGTGACTCTTGTTCATATCTCAGTTTGTCATTCACTTCCAAGCTACAAACTGGTGGACTGAACCCATTTGAGTAGTGCATGTACAAATACAGTACCTGTTCGTAATATATTTCCACGTGCAAAAGATAGTCATTTTCTTGACCAAGTCACAAAATAACATTCCAAAACAAACATGGCACAAAAATGTTATGTTGTATGTAGATATTATAAGTTACAAAAAAAATACAACACTTCCAAGTGCGTAAGGAAAATAGCAGCAGTCAGCAGATGTTTCACTTTGAAGATCTGTCTTGGCAGGACAATGTACGGTCCTCTTTGGCAAAGTTAACGTTATTTGCATTGAGGGTCAGCCCTTGTGTGGCACTGTACTGTATACATACAAAATGACCAAATCACATCCCATACATGCACAAAACCAGCACTTAGACCCTATTCCCACTAGGATAAAATTCTCCACATCAAACCGGATTGATTCGCTTTGGCCGGCTCGATCCAATTTTATCCTAGTGAGAATGGGGCCTAACTTCCTTCTATCACAGATTTTTGCACAAGAATGGTGCACAATAGCTACCAGTGGTACATTTTGTATAGGCATAAAAAAAATTAAAAACTATAGGAGTTGTAATTTATTTATAATTCCCACCAAGTACCCAATTGTTGTGTTTGCTGTGTTACATGTAGTCCTAGAGAAAAAATGTTGTTTCCGGTTCCTCAACCGAACCTAGCAAACCATTGCTAACATGAGCATCAAAGCTTACACAGCACATTTTCAGCTGTGAGGCAGGCCTTAGGGTTTGAAATACTTTTTTTCTCAGGTTGCTAACTGGGCAACCTAAGTCAAAAGCTAGGTTGCCTATCAGTATTTCAGGTTGCCATCAACACCGGCTGATTATTTTAGAAGGCTAGCCATAAGCCAGGCCACCTGTAAAGGTATTACTCACATGCTGGCCGTGGCAGGACACAGTTTATTTTAGAAGCTGTAAGCCAAACCGCTGTAAACTTTGAAAAATGTACTTTTGTATGAAAAAAAATATGATAACTTGTGGACAACTTGGCATCTCGTACAGAAAAACCCAACTTGCATGGCGAGAGTGGGTACTTCAAACCCTGGGCAGATATTGCCAAGAAAACACCAATAAATGTATTTGTCTCTTGAAGACATGTAGCTTTACACTTGAGAATAATTTCCTCTCAGCCCCCCAAATAACGTACATCATCAGTAAATCAAGTGCAATCACAAGTGCAGTCACATTAAAAATAATAGCTTTTATACAGCCATCAATGTCAATTATAAAATGATAAGCTGTCCACGTGACAGGTCTATACATAAATTTATTCAAACTGGAGGCAGTTCTAACAGCAAGGCCCCATTCCCACCAGGATAAAATTGTCCGGGTTGAGCCTAATTGATTTGGTTTGATCTGGCTTTGATTCTGCTTCGAACCGAATCGATTTGGCTTGATCCGAACAATTTTATCCTATTGGGAATGGGGCCTGATAGTCAGGTAGTGACCTCCCATGAACAGTGGTAATATTCACAATACTACCTCCTGTCCAATTATTAACATTCCTTATATACATTATGTCAATTGGTCCCTTAAAGGAGTATAATGCAATTTCAGGGAGGTAAAACAAACAAATATTCTGGATGAAGAAATCTTCCTGATACATATTGACATTTACTGACATTTCTTAGCACATTTTCGACATCATTATTTTGATACTTGAAGCATAGCCCAAAAACAAGCTACATGAAGTGTCTCTTGATGTTTTGGGGTTTCTGGTACATTTTTTTTACCACCCATAAATAGCTATCACCAGCCTACAATACAAAACAAGGAACCGTTTTCCATCAGTGAAACTTCAACTTACTAAAAGAATGCCCCCAAAATTGACTTTGAAAATCCAGTTTTGCCGCCCTGAAATTGCATTTGATACCTTTAAGACAAGCTGAGGAGGAATGTGTGAGCAACATTTAAACACCATCACAGAACCTTGGAGTCTACAAATTGGTTGGAGCTGCGCACGTCGATGGCTTTCGCTTGGAGCGACGGTCTGAGGACAGGAGAACTTCTGATTGGTGGAGGCAGGTCTCTCGGAATCGGCGTGCCCCCGGGTTCACCCACTAGGATTCTCGCGTACCTGGATCTGTTGGAAGGCATCGAAAGAGTTTAATTTACACCCAAATAAATTGCATTTACCCTATACAAGTCGTTAACAGTATTAGTCAACTGTTAGACAACAGCAAACCAAATTAAACAGAGTGATCGCAGATGTTAACTTTAAAAAAACAGAATATGGTTATTGAAAAGTTTTCTCACCATTGTTTCTGACCATTATGGACATTATCTGTTGTACATTCCAAACAGTATAATGCAGAATGATGATAAAATGACTAACCTGAATATATAATGTTGACCTATCTTTTTAACGCAATGCTGCCACTGGCATTTCTAGGTTCATGTAACCAGTATTTCTAAGCGTTCCTAGAACCCTCATTTAACTTATGCCTGAAGCCCCTGTCACACATAGCCAAATATGACCTCTGGAACACTAGCCGAACTTCCCCCACCCATGGTTAGGAGTAGGTTGGGAGCAAGGTCGGCTGGCGTTTGGTCATGTTTGCTGCTGTTTGGCTGAATGTTTTAAAATCTTTGATTGGTGTTCGGAGGTAGGTCGGGGCATGGTTGGCAGTGAAATTTGACTCAAATTTAACTCAAATTCCATTCTATTGTCCCCGAACACCAACCTTGGTCAGCTGGTGTTCGGAGGAAGGTTCTGAATGTGTGACAGTGGCTTGACACAGGCAGCCATCATGTACCTAAATGTAAACCCACCACCACCAAAAAAAGTCACCGGCAAGAAATGGTCAGACATACATTTCTATTGCACTCTGGCAGTGGGTGGCAATCATATCTTGGCAGACTTAGGGTGGTGGATGTTGTTAGTGGGAGGAGGCTCGGGCGTAAAGTTAGTAGGAATGGTGACAAACTGCTGGTCAGGGTCAACCGAGGACGCAACATGATGAGCATCGGGGGCGGCCTCCCAGACTCGCCTGGAAGAAACAAGCGTGGCAGCAAACACAGCAAACTGTTAGACGTAACCAGCACAGCAAATAACAGCAAACTGTTAGAAACAACTAGCATAGCAAATAAACACAGAAAACTGTTAGAAGGTAATAGGCAGAGCAGGTAAAATGACCCATTTCTCAATACCCCCATTCTCAATTACAAGTATTAATAAGCTGATTTCAATCCAAATTTAGTAGGCTTCATCTACCAGATAGGCCTGGCTTTTCTTAAATGTGTTTCTGGTTACCTGATCGAACCTAGCAAAACCCTAGCATCTTTTTAGTCAGCCGCTGAGAGACATAAAATTCTTGATCTGACATCATGGTTCACTGAACTGAATCGGTGTAATACTATATTTTCTTTGATCACTGGCTAAAATGTATCTAAAAAAAAAACACTTTGAAAGAAGTGAATCCCTACCTGGACTGGGTACTTACCCACCCTATTTTTTAAAGACCGTAATTCCGAAGCACAATAATAATAAAAATATTAAAGTAGTACAATGTACACTGTATTGTAGTTGCATCTCCTCCACCTGGATGATTCTAACCAGTAAGACGTACCTAATGGGTGCCTGGAGGTCGCTCAGGCTCTTCTTTGGCAACTCTGCGATGATCTCGGTCTTCTGTGCGAGCATGTCGCCCCGCCCCATGACGTCTGCTGAGCCGGGCAGGCTGCGAGATCGTGCCAGGATGGCCTCAAACTGTTTCCGTGCTCCCGGGAGGCCCGGCATGATGTAGTTTCTGAGAGGAGCGTGGGGCAGCTGGAGAGGTGGCAGTTCACCTGTACATGTGGACATACAGCAGGGTTAGGAGCAGATGGATGATAAGTACATGTATATTTCAGTCCATACCATGATAGTATGGACTGACATATATTGTTTTCCCTCGTGTTTCTTCTCTTCCTCCTTTCAATTCCTTCAATTTTTTGGCCAAATGACATGAAATTTGGCATGATGGTAGAGTGGCAAAGTACACCTAGATTTTTTTTTTAATTTCTTTTGATACACGTTTTAAAAATTGTTTTATTTAGTTTTTTTAGGCCATTTTCAGACAAAAAATGTACTAATTTTGGGATCTGGAGCCCTGGTATTTAATCCGAATGACCTGAAAATTGGTATGGGGATACCTTGTTGCTCGAACTTTTTTCCGTCATCCCACGATTCCCAGGTTCAGGATCCCAGGTTTATGAGGGGTGGGGCTCACAACCTGGGGGGTCCGGGGGCATGCATGCACTCATTTCTGTGTATTACTAAGTGCCACAGTTGTCATGCCTGTGTATGAAATTGTGATCTGTCTGAACCTTACCTTGAATCGTGATAACTACAGGGTGTATTGATGTGCAGTGCTAGAATTATCAAAACAGTTTTACACCCCACCAAATTGTAAATGTTATGCAAGGATGTACAAAGAATCGTTAGTTGCAACGGCCTTTAATGCACTGTGACCGGTGATTTGTCACCCTGTACATAGATGTGTGTGCTTGTAATAAGTCATATTATAAAACAGTCGTTACCTAAAAGTACAAAAAAAGAAGTGTGCAAGGTTATTTCAGACTGGACTGTGATTTGAGTCCCTCTGAGTGCCTCTGTTGAGTCATGCTGGTTAGCTGGCAGTGCTTGTCTGGCCTAGGGAAAAATGTTGTGTTTCCAGTTTCCCGACCAGTTCCCTTGCAAAAAATGACCACTGGTAAGGCTATGAAATGTTCAATCTGATACCTGAATTTCAAACCCTCAGAATTCCTGAAATGCCATTTAACACATTTTCTGAAGCAATTTTTTCTTCAGTAAAGTCAGGTGAAATGTAAACAAGCAAACAGGTGGATGGGTCCTTGAGACAGTCCCAATGCAATATAAATATTTGTTAAGATTGTTTTAGGTAAAATCTGAAAAAAAAAAACACAAAAAAAGGAAAAACCCTACGAACCGACCCTTTGGCTACAGGAAACTGGAAACACAACAATAATTTTCCTAGGCCTCTCCAGAATAACACCATCACCACCTGTATTCTACCAGAACTTACAACGGGCCACATTGCCCAACTCGTCAACAGCCTGGTCCTCCAGGGGCATGCTGGGTAGCTTCAGGAGAGGCTGAAGCCTGAGGCTGTCCCGGGGCATCATGGGAAAATTTTGCCCCGAATGTCCAAACAGTTTCCTCAAAAATGCAATTTCAGGGTCTGCAAGTTCCGAGGAGTCTAAAGCTGAAATATAATCATCAAACATCACGCTAATTCTTAGAGGAAAATGGCTGTCAGTGGTAATGTTTAATTTTTGTTTCTTCATGCAGACACCTTTTTCCCTGTTTTTCCTTAAATAATTTAATACCTATTAATTAAAAAAAAAGTAAGTTAGTCTTATTCAAATTACATTGGATGCCTTTAATACAGTGGAATTTACTTTTACAAGGGAAAGAAGAAGTCCATGGGTTAGTTTGAATGACTGGCTTGGGTGGTCTCAAAATTGTTTTGTAACATAACCCACCTGGTGTACAAAGTCGGGATGAAGGGCTCACTTTATTTGCATAACACTGCAAATACGATCAAATGGCGTGCCCATGAAAAGCACACAACAGTCAGCACGCTTCAAGTCCAATGTATGGTGTGTACTTGAAACCATGGAAGTGTCAAGTTGGGGTCTTTGTAATATTGTAAGTTGTTTCTTTTCTTTTTTTACTCGATACACTTGGATGCAGATCAAATAGAGTTAAGGCTTGTGGGTGAGCAATAAATTAGGAAAAAAATTGTATTTCCGGTTAATCCCGACCGACCTTAGGAAAAGCCTTTTTTGGGAGGTCGAACACTGGCAAGGCCAATCTGACATATTGATTTCAAACCCTCTGAATTGAAACGTTAATCATTGGTAATAAAATTGCATTTTTAGATATATTTGTCCCTTCCACACAAGCAAACAGAAAATCTAAAAAAGTAAATCTAAAAAAAAAAAGATTAAAAAAAAAGGAGAATCCCTATTTATTTTTCAGAAAGCCAACATTAATTTTCCAAGGCCTTATCAACATTTCTGTTTTAAGATTACTTTTTGAGACTACCCATTTCAGCCATGGTGACTTGATGAACCTTTAGCCCATAGACTGTCCTCAGCTGGTCTGTGTGTACTCACACTCAGGTGGATCATCCTCTTCTGATGGGGTTATCTCAACTTTTACACCTAACACATTACGGAAGGGTTGTCAGTTTAGTGTTTCTGTGTGCTTCATGTGAGCATATCAATATCCTGACATCAACAGCATTGCGTGTAGAGCAGTGTTCTAGCCAGCGCCCTTTCTTCCATCATTTGAATTTTGACGCTCATGACA